GTAAGTGAAGAAATGTTTTAAAAACAAAAAAGTTTAAAACAGGTAAATTTAATATACGTTCCTATATATTTACTAATATTAGCAGCATAAGGATTTAAAATAAGTGAGTGTTGATTGAGAGAGTGAAGTTCTGTTTTACGGCAGGAGAGGTGAGGAGAGATCTCCCAAGTTTCTAGATTCAGGTTTTTCAGGCCTGCACACATCCCAGTCCTGCTCAGCCTGTTAATTGTAGTATGGAAATAAAGATGCACATTGACATAACGATGCTGCGTCATATAGACTCAGATCATTGCTTTCTGACAGTTTGATCAGCTAATGGCTACTTTGTGACTCATTCCCCCTTCTTGAGAAACAGCATGTTGTTCCGTCTGGATATCCTTCTTACATATTTCAGCCAATATTTCCTTCCCCCCCCTTCCTGTACTATTTTTAAGGACACCAATTCCTTAAAAGGACAGAATGGTTAAAAGCACTGAGATTTACTGTAAATCCAAGTTAAAGTCTAGCCGATGTGAATGGGTATGTAGCTCCGATATGATGACAGAGCAGAGATTAGTGGATGTTAGTAAGTGAAAGTAGGCTAAATGTTTTGGAACAGTTCCATGTGAAGTTTTTCATTACCTTTTCAGCAGAACAGTAACTCTGTAGTCTTACATAAACAGTTTCATGTTCACAGGAAGATCATGTTCACAACTGATGATTGTGCTTCTGTCACCAGAAAGGGATATTAGGTGTCTGCTCCCTCTTCGGTACTGCAGAGATTTCCTTGAAGCAAAATTTCTCATATTTCATAAGAAGACATATGAATAGTCTTCATTAGATGTTTGATCACTACTGAAAATTGTAATAGCATTTCATTCTCCTGTTTTTTTGGTTTTTTTCTTCTTAATTTTAAAGTGATTCCAGTTCTTTTGCAGAAACCCATGTTCATTTATTAAAAGCATGCAATGCATTCTGCTTCAGGGTTCTGTTTGCATGGAGTTTGTATGCCTCCCTGTAGTAGCAAAGGTGCATATAAGGTCTCCACAGAAGGCCTCAACACAGAAAAAAAATCCCTACACAACATCCCGACATCTGTAAGAGCAGTGTTGCCTATATTAACCCCCTAACAATACATATATGTAAAATTGGAAAGATTATAAATACAACATAAAATATATCATACACGTCACATGTGTTCAACCTTTAAAAAGTGAACACTACACTTAACTTTGCTGCTACACACATTTTTGTATGTTGCAGTGTGCTGCATCAGGCAGCGCCTTTGAAATGAAGGGGTTGCAATGCACCTTTAGGGCTTAAAAAAAACCAATAGGTCATACTGCAGGTGCATTCTGATTACATCAAAATGAATAGTACTGAAATGGATGAACAATATGTTACAGCGCACATATAGAGTTCGTTACTGCAACATGGATGATGTTAACAATCCTACCGGATCGAAGTGCTGTAATTTAAATGTGCTTCATTTTTGTGTTGGTTGAATACTGTGTAGCATCTCTCCACAATCCAGTGGTGGATTTGCATACGAGTATTGAGGTTAAAGCTTAAATGTCTAGTACACAGGTGTCAAACACAATCCCCGTGGGCCAAATCTGGCCCTCCAGGCCATCTCAGGTGGCCCTTGCACCTCCTCCAGGTACCCCCTTGTCTCTGTCTCAGCAGTTGGCAGCAGAGAGGAAAATAGAACTCCCCTGCCAAATACTGCACCTCTCAGTGCAGTTGCAGCACCCCCTCATCTCTGCCTCCCCTGGTCTCAGCATTCAGCAGACTCTGGTAACTGACTCCACTCCTCCTCTGGTCCTCCTCCAGACCCTGCACTTTTTGCTTTCCGGCTCTGCTCCCAAAGGGGGTGCACAGTGATGTTAGGGAGGGTGTGGGATTCTTGACATCTGATGTAATGGGGGGTGCTCTGGACATCTAGTCGTACAGATACCCTCTTTGAGGGCAACCATAATGCTGATACGGGCCGCAATTAAATGGAGTTTGACACCTCTAGTCTAGTACAGAAGATGAGAATATTGGACGAAAAAAGCCACATTCGGAGCAATTGTCCAGCAATCTATTCGTTAGTACACAGCTGTTGAGAGCTGGTCATGGCAGTTCATGCAAAAATTTCCGAAGGGACAAGCACAAAAAATGTAATAAAACAGAAGAAACAATTTTTTGTAATTAGTATAGTATTTGAAAAAAAAATCAGGTGACCAAGTCCACGTATGCTCTGAAACGAAAGACTACATTACAATACAATACATCACTTCTGAAGTTTTTTGTCCTACAAGAATTTTCATAACACATGCCTTTTCAATATGAGGCTAGAATGCAAAAAAAAAAATGGCCAATCATATGTTTGCTATTCTCATCATGTGTATTATGCACTACTCCAGCTAGCTAGCGTATGAACTGTTGTGTCTAAAGCCTAATGGATGGAGTGGGGAAATAGGGATTGTGCCTTATCTGCTGTTCTGACCGGAAGTGAGGTGACGTTTTGTCACTAATGGTAATGAAAACATGACTTTGACATGAAATCAAAGTTTTGGTTAGAGAACATGGCCAGGGAATTCGATTGCGAGTTCACCTGGGGCTGTGTTTGTTGCTAAATGTTTTCAGTTTTCTCTCTATTGGGCTGTGTAAGTAGATATTAACACAATATGAATAAACAGGACTATGGGGTCCAGTCTTGACTGTCTAAATATGACATTTTAAAATCTTCTCTATGTAAAAAGCATTACATTTTTTAAAGCAAGGAACCAATGACATGTCTTTTCTTTAAAATTGTATTTCCTCCAGTATATCGTGGAGATTGACAGCAAAGCTTACACATACCAAAACGTTGAACATTTGCATTACATTGTGGAAACTGGACTGTTCAAGCATAACTAAAGGCAAAAGAAGAGAGATTAGGACACTTGTCAGTTTTTATTGCTGTCTGTGCCCTCATTATGGAGATTCACCCTCTCTATTTGTCCTGTTTACTGTTATCATTGAAAGTAAAAGAAAATCCCAAATTTTGGGTTGTTTTTAGAAAAGTAATATAGGGGAAAGCTCCTAAATGGGGACATTAGTTCTGGTAACCTGGGGGTCCCCAAGAAATTCCCTTACTTTGCAGGGATTTTAAACAACTTCCTGTTTCGCTTTGGGACAGGAAATGAAGGGAAATCTCTGAAATGGGACACAGATGGCGAAAAATAATCTGACGGGTTAGAACCCTCCCTTGCTCTATCCAAAATAGAAAAAAGAAGTTTTGCCTATAGTTCTTCTTTAACATCCTTAGGCCACACACCAACAAAGACTGGGATTCTTGAGTCTTTTTTTGTTGCCTTTTAGGTCTGGTTCACAATAGTACAACTTCAGATGCGATTTTCAGTTGTATAGAAACACACATCAACGGAAATCGCATTGTTTCTAATGGTGCTCATTTACATCAATGCAGCACAGCATGGTGTGATTTTGGAAGAGGGTCCTGTAATTCTTTGATGTGATTTTGGCTCCATAGAATATGCAAATCACATCCAAAATGCAACCAAGTTGCACTACATAATCACACTAAAAGTCTGAGTGAGATGAGATTGTAGTATGAACCCAGCCGTGGACTATGTAGTCATTTAGAGACACCGTGGACTATGTAGTCATTTAGAGACACCGTGGACTATGTAGTCATTTAGAGACACCGTGGACTATGTAGTCATTTAGAGACACCGTGGACTATGTAGTCATTTAGAGACACCGTGGACTATGTAGTCATTTAGAGACACCGTGGACTATGTAGTCATTTAGAGACACCGCACAGCTGCTCTAACAGGAAAGTGAAAAGTAAGATAATGAAAGCAGAGGGTGTTAGTGCAATGTCTGTCTGACTGCTTACCCTTTTTTATGATTTTATAATCCTGCTTTAAGAACACTGAAATGAATGGTTTACTACATTTTGTATTGCTTGCCCTTTCCTTTTAATTGTAAGCTCTCTTGAGCAGGGTCCTCCTTATCCGTTTGTTTTGAATTGTATTGCAACTGTACTGTCTATATTTTGTAAAGTGCTGAGCAAACTGTTGGTGAATTTTGTACATCTTGTATAATAATGTTTAACACATGTAAATGCCATTTCAGTCGATCTGCACCACGAACAATCTCTGTTCTTTAAGGTCTCATGCTGACAGGCCTGTAGCATGAAATCCTTGGTGCTGGTGCTTTCCCACACCCAGGGAGCCACAGGTGCCATGTACAGCCACCAATACAAAAATGGATGTAAGTGGCCGCACTTGTTTAATTGTGGACCGCTTTTGCATCAGCTTTCACCCGTGCATTTGCGAATGATGTATTTCCCCAAGCACACCATTTTCTTGTGGGGAAATATGCTTGCACACAGGCTCAGGTAAACGCTGATGCAGAAACAAGTCATGCGGCACCTGCAGCTCCTTGGGCACAGGAAAGCAGCAGAGATTTTAAGATAAAATTCAGCATGTAAATGTTTTTGTACTTGCGACATGAATTTCCTCCATAACATATACACAAAAACACACATTTTAAAATGTCAACCCATGTCAAGGTACAAGTATTATAAAAGCAAATTACTGCACTCTGTAGGGTGGTAACGGTCCCTCCGTTATTTATCTTTTATGGAACGCTGCAGTTACTTTTTCTAATTTAACATGCATGATAGCGGTGAACTACAACATAATGGTATGAAAGCAGTAACGTGAGTTTCTTGATTATCAGGATTGGCCAGTTGGTGAGAATGTTAGTGTTTACCTGTATGTAGCACAATCATAGAACAAAGCTATCTATAACTGAGGTAATAAAATGTTACAGCTGTTGGACTACAGGTCCTAGCACACTTTACTAGCCTATGTTTTCATTTATTTTTTATGGTCTTCTATAAAAATCAGAAGTGCATTTTGATGTGTTGAATCTCTTCTTTTTCCGCATCCTGACCAGTGGATTCTTTTTTTATGACTAGGTGCTGGTTGTCATATCTGCCCCTTGGCTTACCTTAATCCAGGAAGATGTGCCAGCAAGTATCTGCAGGGAAAAGTGTGTGGCATAAAGTCTGGTCCTCAGGAAGGAGTGGAGTCTTAGTGTTATTACTTTCCTATCTACCTTATAGTGTCAGCTCAGGTAAGTGCATTCATGTTGTACTTGGCATGCTATGATTACTCACATCTGCACAGGATCAACCTAACATCACTGCATGGGATGGGGGAGGGGTCCTTTAAATAGAAAAGAGTTGGAAAACCTTTGCAGTTAACAATGTGCTGGCGCTATCAAGGCTTCAGCATAACACCAGGGTTGTCTGTTTTTTTTTTTTTTTATTTATAAATTCTGTGTTCTTGAAGTAGACAAAGGTCGAGTAGGGTCAAAGACCTAAGAAGATGGTCAGATATATGGCACAAATGAGTTGCATAATTGATTATTTTTACTATTGGGCATAAATAAAACCGCCCATCTGCATGATCGGTATCAGACCAAGTAAATCCAATCCATCCAATTATTAGAACATTGAATTCCATTTAAAAATATCTATCAAGATAAAATCCTTATAAAACATAGAATATCCATTTACTGTCAGGGCCCAGCACTAGGGTCGGAGTTTCCATACTAGATACTCAGTTTGCTCCCTCCCCAGGCATTGGACCCATCACACAGACAGGCACATGGCCCAGCAGTTTTTTTAGTATGGTGCGCGGAGCCTGATAAACTGAAGGACTAGTTCCCCATCAGGTCTGCCTTGCAGTTTATTGACAGCACACAACGGTGGGTGGATCCAAACACTATTCAGTCTAATAGTGGTTTTGAATACACCCACTGCCACCCGCAGTCAGAGTAAGGTGGACCTGATGGGGGTATTAGTCTCTCAGTTCCCCCTCCGGCTCAGTCCACTCAGTAGGTGCTATGGCCGCGGGGGGACTATTGCCATATCATTTCAATCAGAGGTATTTTTCTGTCACCTAGTACTTTGTCCTAATGCTGCCTCTGATGGTCTTAATTTCTTGATCTGCTCAAACTCTGCAGAGATTAAGTAAACAAGTTGGAGACTGTGGTAGTGTGCAATGGTTTATAACCTTTTAGAGACCTGCCATGATATAGAACAAGCAACATCCAAGGCACTGTGTTTTCACAGTGTTCGGTAGTCAGTATGAAGTGAAGACATAAACATTTGTCCAGGTTAAATTATGCAAAGAAATCCTTGAGGTTAGATACCTGTAAGGTGTGTCATTTATTACCTCTGACAGGTTAAACCAGTTACACTTCTATTTCAGATGGAATAATAAAATGTTTCAAGACTTTTTTTCTATTTAGACATAAGAATGGTTCTTGTTCTAACACCATAAAAGCATGACATGTCAGAGTTTTTTTGGCTTAAAGTGGAGTATTCAATGTCTAAAAGGTAATTGGCTGTTATACAGCAGCAATAACTGCTAAACCTTAAAATACGATGATGATTGTTGGCTCCTCACCCCTTATCTGGTCATCCAGCTTGGCACAATATCTTTAGATTCTGTTTACACTGCTGGCTGGTGAGCTGTTGACTCTCTGGGGAGTGTCAATGACATTTTCACAACAGTCAAGTGTGAATCCATTCTTAAAGCAGAACCTTTTCCAAAAGGAGAAGTTCCGCTCCGCTCCCCCCCCCCCCCACAGACACACACACCTCTATCATATTTGGAATGTGTTTGAAAGGCTAGGTTCACCTACATTTATTTTATTTTTTTCCAAAATTCGCAGTCATACTGTACTTTTAGTTCACAGAGCAGGAAGATGCAGAGGTACGGTTCCCCCTGTGTAAGCTCTGTGTTGTGTGGCTCACAGAAACCAGGCAGATTCCATGTATCATTTTTTTGTATAAAGACACACAGTCTAGTGATTATGACTACTCTATCGCCTTCCCTTGCACGATAATTGAGTGCATTTTGTTTGGGCAGAAATGCAAATGGTAAGGAAAATACATTCTTTTAAATAAAATGGCAGTATAAATGCTGCTTAGTATTTTTGGTAGGCTGACCGTTTCAGTTCTAATAAATCAAACTGCTGACTGGGGAATCCGTTTATCTTCATCTTCACTAGTGTAGGATGATGATGTGGTCATTTCCTTCTGGTGACTCTCCACACAGAGAAAGCATTTATGATGTCCAAGCATATTTCTGTAGGGGGACCTCTCAAATTTGAGTCACTGCACTGTTGTCTGTATGTTATATACACAAAGGCCACAATCTGGACTCTGCTGCTTCAATAGGAAGGTCTGATTGATGCTCAGGGTGACCCTGAGGCATTGCAGTGACCCAGCCATCTGTCTACAGAGGACACAGGCAGCTTCTGTGTTTGGGACTGGGATGTAATCTAATTAGCATTTCAATACCCGCAGAGCTGGGGTCTCTGAGAGTTAATTGAGAGTGAAAGCCATGAGCCAGCTAGTAGCATTTTTACTTCTTTTGTACAAGGCAGAATTATTCCCTGCTTCATGTCAGCCATCGCATGTACAGCTGATCTTTTGCTGGTGGTTGAGGCTCCACTGGCTTTGTACTGTATTTTTTTCCAGCCTTCCCTCAAGTCATAGATGAAATCTGGAAGAGCAAACACATGACAGCCAACAAAGTCTTGGCTTTATTCTGTAGTAGAACAAGTGTTTTTGGAGTTTGGTCTTCATGGACAGTACACATTTGGTTTCCTTCTGGTAATAAAGATCATTCTTGTAGGAGTCCCCACAGTTTTTCAAAATTTTTTGTGTAACTAGTATAATATACACACACACTCACCTGTGTAAATTTACACAAGAAACAATCTCAGGGGATTGTGTGGTGAAGATGGTTGTTTGGTCACATTTGTTTTGAGGTTTCGATGGCTAAATGGTTAGCACTTCCGCCTGGCAGTATTAGGGTCGTTGGTTTGAATCTCAGCCACGGCACCACCTGCCTGGAGTTTGCATGTTCTCCCTGTGCCTGCGTGGGTTTCCTCCGGGTACTCCGGTTTCCTCCCACACTGCAAAGACATGCTGGTAGGTTAATTGGATCCTGTCTAAATTGGCCCTGGTATATGTATGTATGAATGTAAGTTAGGGACCTTAGATTGTACACCCCTTGAGGGTTAGGGACTGAATGTAAAGCACTGCGTAAATTGACGGCGCTATATAAGTAACTGAAATAAATAAATGTGTAATAATGGAATAATAAAACCTACATTTTCACACAAGTTACTACAGCGCACTACAACGTGCTGTATATGTTATACCATTCATTCTCAGAGGTGCTCCAACTCACAAATCGTGTTAACGGACACACCTGCACTTCAGCATAGGGCATCACATATAGGTGAATGTATTCAAGGTGCCTAAATGGAAGTGCAGGTACAGTTTTCATGCATTGAGGTTTGTTGTCCCTTAAAAAAAAAAATTGTGATCAAAAGGAAATTTTACCTCTATATACCCTAGTGATAAGTGTCAACTAAATATGACCATTTTCTGCATGCTAAAAATGATCAGTTCGAAAGTACCATAGTCCAACAATTGTATATTGTAGGTTTTTTCATTTGTATTTTTATTTTCCTTCATAGTTATCTTCTTTGTTATATATTGACACTCATTAGATTTTGATGTTAATGGACCACTTTCATAAATATACTGTATGCTTTGTGTCCATTTTCAGCTGTAGTCAGTATTTCTGCATGACTTGACATGACCGTATTTAGAACTCCCTGTGTTTAGCAATACACAGTCGTCTTTGTTTTGTATTTGTTGCCATATGTGGTTGCAAACGTTCCCATTGTGGGAAGAATTGCATCTTAGTTCCTGTTTAAATATTGGCAAAGTAATTGCAAAGTATACAAGGTAGCTCTTCCAGTTCTATCATGGACATTACCAGTCACTCAGTCATTGAACATATCCTGTTTTCAGGTTTGCTCGTAGATCTTCATTGATTTTGGAGGAATGGGTTGTCTGATAGTTTTCATTCATGCGATATTTATTCCTGACAATTCTAACAGAGAAAAAAAAAAAATATATAGATATATATATATACACACACACAGTTGTGTTCACAATAATAGCAGTGTGTTGAAAAAAGTGAATAAAGCTTAAAATCCTTCTAATAGCTTTTATTTCCATACACACAAATGCATTGGGAACACTACACATTCTATTCCAAATCAAAACCGGAAGAAAAATATATCAAATTTGTGTTGTTCCTCTAAAAAGATTGAAGAAAAGTGAATATTAGACTGTTCAAAAAAATAGCAGTGTTTGTATTCTTTTTTACAAACTCAAACATTCACTATATAAACTGAAAAATGTGTGAAGATTTTTCTTTCCTTTGAATCACTTAATGAATATTTATTTGTATAAGCGCTGTTTCTGAGAACTGCTGTACATCTGTGTTGCATGGAGTCAACCATCTTCTGGCCCCTGTGATCAGGTATTCCAGCCCAGGATGATTGGACTACATTCCACAGTTCTTCTCTATTTCTTGGTTTTGCCTCAGAAACTGCATTTTTGATGTCACCCCACAAGTTTTCTATTGGATTAAGATCCGGGGATTGGGCTGGCCACTCCATAATGTCAATCTTGTTGGTCTGGAACCAAGATGTTGCACATTTACTGGTGTGTTTGGGGTCGTTGTCTTGTTGGAACACCAAGGGCATTTCCTCTTCAGCATAAAGCAGCATGACCTCTTCAAGTATTCTGATGTATTCAAACTGATCCATGATCCCTGGTATGCGATAAATAGGCCCAACACCGTAGTATGAGAAACATCCCCATATCATGATGCTTGCGCAACCATGCTTCACTGTCTTCACAGTGTACTGTGGCTTGAGTTCAGTGTTTGAGGGTCGTCTGACAAACTGTCTCCGGCCACTAGACCCAAAAAGAACAATCTTACTTTCATCAGTCCACAAAATGTTGCGCCATTTCTCTTTAGGCCAGTCAATGTGCTCTTTGGCAAATTGTAACCTCTTCAGCACGTCTTTTTTTCAACAGTGGGACTTTGCGGGGGCTTCTTGCAGATAGCTTGGCTTCACATAGGCGTCTTCTAATTGTAACAGTACTCACAGGGAACTTTACACCTTCTTTGATCTTCCTGGAGCTGATTGTTGGCTGAGTCCTTGCCATTTTGGCTATTCTTCTATCC